TCGACCTTGAAAAGACCACCAGTGAAAGAGCCAGCAAATCGTCTAGAGGGTGGCTTGAAAATTCACAAAATGGTCCATGTTCCTAACAGTAACAATAAGAAGAATGGTGCCCTGAGAAAGTGTCGCATGAGTGCTAAGCACAAGGTTAGAAAAGAAACAAGTATCATGTGTGCAGGCTGTGGTGTGGCTCTCTGCAAACTTTCATGTTTCAATGTTTATCACACGAAGAAAAACAAATAAAGAGGTGTGGAAAAGCATTTATTGCATAAAATATTGTATTTTAATTAGTTCCCAAAAATTTCGTTTTTAAAAACCAATTTTTGTTGAAGTTGTTTAGGAAAAAGTAACTACATGCACTTTAGCGACGTAAGGTTTAAAGGGCCTGCCAGGACAGGGGTGGGATTTAAATACCCTTCGTGCCAGTCAAAGAGTTAATATGAAAGAAAGGGATAATTGCAGCAACACTGTAATTGATTTCAGAAACAAAATAAAATGTAAGTTTCACATAGAGTTCTTGCAGTAGGAACAAGAATGATACAGTGTTATACTTGTGTGTTTTTTTCACAACTGCTCTGGAATGTTGAGTAGCATTGGTCAGTGTGTCTTTTTCACATTTGACACAGCTGTCAGTTCCAAATAAACTGTTCCCATTATTTATATTTATGGCAGTGATAGATATAATGTAATGCCCCACATTCCGTACCTGCACATTTCTCATGAGCCCAAGCAAATGAATGCAGAAACCTGTGGTTTATAGAAGTCAACTTGCGTCATGTTGTAAATTCTGGTGTTCTCAGATGTAGGAATGGATCTCTCTTCATGAAGTCTTGATAAAGGTATTTTTCAATCATCATCTCTGTATTGAATGTGTATGGAATTTTTAGCTCTTCAGCAACACTGAATGCCATTCATTCAAATTTCTAATTTGGTTAGGTGGTTCTTACCGTTTGGCATTGGGTATTCATTCAAATGTTCCTAATTTTGGCAGTATCTGAACTTCGCTGCATTTCTGTCCTGACCTTTCCACTCAATTAAACTGACTGACAGCTTCCCAAACATTTATTTTTGCCAGCAGCATAGATTCAGTAGCCATCTTCATGTCTTCTGCCACTAGGACCCTTTTAGAATCTTGGCATCCTGTGACAAATCTGTAATGCTGCATGTCTGGTGCAACCCACCATAATGGTGGCCACCACTAACTGAAACACTTTTGATTGAAAATTTCTGCAGATTTTCTCACAATAAAGTGACTGCAAATATATTTTTACAACACATTACTTACTGTAACGAAAGGGTACATGTAAAGCCAATCAAACTGCCAGATGTGCTCTGAGGAACCAAATATTATACAAGTATGGTGTAAGCAATGAAAGCAACACAAAAACAAGGGTAAGTGTTTAGTCTGCTGAAGGCATGAACTCAAACTGCCATAATGTGAAAAGGAAGAGAAATTTCTAAAATATATGTACTATAATCTGCCACTATCGACCAACATTTTCACATAACCACTGGTGTCTGATACTGCCCAACACCATGGCAAACCATACTTTCCCCTAAATGAAAACTTTTCCAAATCCATACACTCTTGTTAAAAATTCATCCTTGAGTGGATATAATTACAATACTTAAGATCATGTTAAATTGGATCTTAAAGAAATAAGACATGGATGTAATTTATCTGACTGATGTCAGGCTGTTGTAAATACAGCAGTGAACCTTCAGTACCTGTGTTTTAATTGGAATACAACTTAAAAGAATTTACTGTGGACAGAATTAGCTTCCTGGTTTGTAATCTTGAATGGAGCATTCACTGTTAGAGAGCATTTGCCTGCAAAGTTTCTGGGCCATACAGAAACCCTTTGCTTTCTTACAATACAATCTGATAATCCCTGTTGACACTGACCAGCTTAGCATAGTGGTAAAGTATTGGGAGATGTCTGAATGCTGGCTGAGAACTGGCTGCCATGATTGAGCTCTTTCTGGTCCTTGACCATGGAAAGTGGTACAGTTCTATAAAATTATTGAATATACAAGAAGAAAAACATTAAGGCTAAATGTACTCTGGATAACTAACTGTGAGTGTAAATACTTTTGTGGTTCCAAATGAGCTGGGGTCCATTCTCAGAATCATGTGACTTGTGAATATTTGCCTTTCCACCTAGCTGTTTGTGTCAGTTTTGGTTGTTGAATGTAATGTTATAGAAACAACTGGTATTTGACTGATTTCTGTGAAACTTGCAGTGAGCATTGTGCCATTGCTGGGCACTCTTTGACTTTCCAAAGACCAGTATGATGGTGTTGAGAACTGAAAGTTATATCAGAACTACACTGTGTGGAGCCCTTCTTGTGAGTCGGAGTTACTCAACTGGTCAAGAACTTTTCTGCCTTTTATGGAGCCCAATGGTTTATCACCATGTGCATGTGAACCAGTTGCTGACCCCTGTTCTGAGCTACATGACTCCAGTCCTTTCTGTCACATAACTGTTTCTTTAAGATCACCTCTAATGCTGTTCTCAGGAGCAAGAAATTTTCTCTTTGCTGCTATGTTCAGACCAGATGTGGGGCCCACCTAGCCATCTAATGAATGGATTCCAGAGTTTCTGTTCTTGGAGGCAAGGTACTTAAGTGTGATGGTGATATCACTTCCATCTAGTGTTGCTGCCTAGAATGTGTGGAGCCTTGCCTCCTCACATCCTATAAATTTGTGTTTCTGTGGCATGGTGCTGGGGCACAGGAGCAGACATAGATGTTAGATTGGGATTATACAGTTTGTGTTTTGTTTTGTTTTTTTTTTCAGATTGGCAGAACTCAAGAAGGAAAGTGGAAATCAGCTTTACAAAACTAAGAAGTATCAGCAAGCAATTCCATTTTATACAGAAGCCATTGGTAAGTGACTGCTGAAGTACACTGCATTGGTCAGTTTTATTTAAATGTTGGGCGTACTTCTGTGGATAGTTTTGTTGTTCATTGATTGGTATACTCATAAAATATTTTATATTGATTTTCTTCACTGTAATAAAGTGTCAATGTCTGCCATATCCCATACCAGTTCATTATGAACTTAATATCATTGACAGTAACATGAAAAAGGAACCATCTTTTGGTTTGCTAAGAAAGGTAGGAAAGATTTGTTTTAATGTTCAGTGTTTGTACAGTAGTTCCTTGCTAATTACAGTTGTATCTGTTGTTGATAAACTGTCATTTCAGCAACCATGATATCCAGTACTGAGTAATTGTTTATTGTGTAGTTTTCTTTGCAGCTGAGACTGATTTTATCCCAGTGAAGTGAGTTATTGCATTCCATCCCCACACTCAATCTGTGCCATCTGTGGATGGTCTGAGAGGGATACTAGGCATTAATGCATGACCCACATTCCATGTTAGCACATTTCATTTCATTTATTTACATGCCACAAATCCATTACAAGGTCTTAGGACCCAGGATAAAGCCAGTAGTCCAATATAACAGAAACAGTATATGATATAAACAAGTATGATTCACTATAAATTTGTAATAAAAGATATAATGTAAATATAAAATTTACAAGTCAATTTTCAATGCCTGGTAATTTAATCTATAGTTCCATATACAATTTTAATGAGGATATTATAAGTACATGATTATTCAACTTGTGTTTTGATCACATAAGGATGGAATCTTTTGGTGTATCAGAAAATAAAATATACCTTTACAATTTTCCAGTTAACACCATAAAAATGTGGTAATATAGCAATATAAATATAGAAATCTAAAATATTCACTTGGNTTTGAACTATTTCTAGTTACTACAGTGCGTACAATCAAGTGCGCGCCGCGGCTGCAATTTGCCGTGAGTCATACCACCGCAGAACGGATGCAGTCGCGGGGAGGAGTTGCCGCGGCGCGCACTTGATTGTACGCACTGTATTTCATACATATCAGAATTTTCTGTAAACAGTTCCATATTATTAACAACATACATCACAAGGGAATATATATATTGGGAGGGCAGTGATAATATTTTCAATAGGCTAAAAAAATTTTCTGCATGAATCTCTGTTTCCAGCTCCCGCCATTATTCGAACAGCTCTCTTCTGCAATTTAAAAACAATCATACTATGAGTTTTGTTTCTCCAAAAAATCAAACCATAAGACATTACAGAGTGGAAAAAGGCATAATACACCATTTTGAGAGCTTCGATACATAAGTACTGTTGGGATTTCCTAATTATATGACAGGCTTTATTTAATTTAACTGTGATTGAATCAATATGTTTTTCCTAGAATTTATGTTATCCAGTGTTATACCCTAGAATTTTACCTCATTTAACTCTAATACAAATTTATTTTCGTATTCAATATTTAATTTGTTAGTAAACTTTTGTTTAGCTAAGAAATGCACGCAGCAAGTCTTGTCAAAATTTAAGGAAAGCATGTTTAAATTAAACCATTCATTAATCTAAACACTATATTGAGTTTCCTTTCCAGATGTATAAAATTTAATTCATTTAGTATTACACTCGTATCATCAGCAAATAGCACAATAGAAGTATTCGATGGGTCAGAACGCAGTATGAAAGCTGGTAAGTCATTTATATAGATCAGAAATAACAGCAGTCCAAAAATCGATCCTTGTGGAACACCTATATTAATTTTGCCCCAATTTGACAACTTATTGTTAAATTTTACCCTTTAGTATCTTTGGCATAATCTATCAGTATTTTGCCTTAAACAAAAAATCCGTAACTTTCAGTCTGATGTTACAGTTATCTTATGCTGTGAATCCTTTTAAAAGTGAAGAATTTGTGGGATTTGAGGAGATAGGAAGAGGAAGCTATTAGTTTTTCAAACATGAGAAATTTTGCCAAGTGAATGCAAGTGTGAGAACAGGCATTCAGTGAAGCTATACATCAGTGGTCAAGTTTTCTGTCACATCACCATAAAGATTAGCTGAAAGAAAGGAATTGATGAAATTCTTTGGGCAACCTGATAATGTGCAAGTACCCAGTACCCCTGGAAGTCACTGACTGTTCTGTGGAATGGGAGAACTCCTCAGTCCTCAAACTACCAACAGTGTCCTATCTGCCTGTCATTGTTTTAATTATTTGTAAAATTTCTGTTTACTTTTATAATATGACATGTTTATTTGTCATCTTGAAGCATACATTGTAAGAATATATTATGGCTCCCTGCCTAACCATCAGTTTCTCATGGGCCATGTCCTGTGGTTTTTATCAACGATGGATTAAGTGTAGGATATACCTTCTGTGGTAAATGAGGATTTATGTAAACTGATTTGGGAGATATTGGCTTAGATGGGAGGATAATATTATAATGAATCTTGAAGAAACAGGATGGGATGGAGTTGGACTGAATTTGTGTAGACTTGGTGTAGGGATCATGGGCAGGCTGTTGTGAACACAGTGATGAAACATTCGGTTCCATAAATGGTGCAGAATTTCTTGATTAACTGAGAGATTATTAGCCTTTCAAGAAGAACTCTGCTCCATGGAGTTAGGTAATTTGCAGTATTGTCATTTTTATTTATAGCATGTGATGATTTGTGTGTGGAACGACTATCAGCATATAATAGTAAAGGATATTGCCTAGCAGAAGACTGAATGCAATGTAAAGTAAAAAATGCGACATGGTGGCATCTTTTGTGACCTGACCAAGGCATTTGATAGCGTAAATCATGAATTATTACTGACAAAGCTGGATTTTTATGGTGTACAAGGAACATTTTTTAAATTGATTGCCTCTTATTTAAATAATAGATAAGCGGCCTCTGTAGTCTAAAGGTAACGTTCCCACCTCATGACTCATAGTACGCGGGTTCAAATACCCGGCGGAGGTCGTCGAATTTTTAAGGGCAGAAAAATTCAGGGAACAAGTCCTCTGGGAGGGACTTTAAGCCGTGGGTCCCGTGTCATAGCTTTACGGCACGTAAAAGAACCTCATATCTCCAAAGGAGGTCAGTGAGCCAAATTACGGACGTTCCCCGCCCAACAGCAGTCTCTAATACCTCTTTTAGATGGGGGAAGCATTGTAGATACCTCTCAGCAAGTAGAGATGGTCTCGCTGGCTGGGCGGGACTGATGGTAAGCACCAGTACCGGTAGGATATAGAGACTGGTAGAAATCATAGAGGGAAGCACAATGGACCAATACAGGTCTAAGTGCATGGGGAAACCCACCCTCTCCAATAACTAACTAACTAAATAATAGATACCAAAGAGTAGTAATAAAAGATAAATCATCTATTAAATGCTTCTCAGACTGGAAACAAGTTAGATTGGGAGTTCCTCAAGGATCGATTCTTGGACCAGTGTTTTTTTTTTTTTGCCATGGCAAAAGCTGCATTTAGCAAGAAGAAGAATCTTTTTACCAGCAAATTGGACTTAAATTTGAGGAAGAAACTAGTGAAATGCTACATTTTGAGCATAGCTCTGTATGGAGCTGAAACATGGACACTTAGGGCAGTAGATCAGAAACATCTGGAAAGTTTCGAAATGTGGTGTTGGAGAAGGATGGAGAAGATCAGTTGGACCGATTATGTGAGAAATGAAGAAGTGTTAATTAGAGTCAGTGAGCAGAGGAATATCCTGCACGAAATAAGAAAACGGAAGGCTAATTGGATTGGTCATGTTTTACGCAGAAACTGCCTTCTAAAAGAAGTTATTGAAGGAAAGATAGAAGGGCGGATAGAAGTGACAAGAAGACGTAAGAAGATGCTGGATGACCTTGGGGACAGAAGAGGATAGATACTGTCATTTGAAGGAGAAAGCTCTAGATCGCATTAAGTGGAGGAATTGTTTTGGAAGAGACTGTGGACCTGTCATCTGACAGATTACTGATGATGATGTCTATAAATGACTTACCAGCTGTAATAAGTGATATATCGAAACCTACTCTATTTGCGGACAGTGCTAACTTAATACTAACCACTTCAGATTTTATGTAACTTAAAAAAATCTTAATACTGTTCTTGGGAAGATAATAGATGGTTTCAAGGTAATTCATTGACTTTGAACTTTAATAAAATGTATTATATGTATTTCAAAATGAGAAAGAGTCTAATTGATAATTCTCCAATAAAGTATATGAACAAACAAATAAATACCACTTATTACACAGGTTTTTTGGGTGTGACTCTTGACTCGACATTATCTTGGCAAGAGCATAAAAATAAAGTGATTACTAAAATAAATTCTGCTTGTTTTGTTATTAGATCTCTTAAATTGTTTTTAACTATAGAAGACTTAGAAATTGTATATTTTGCTTATGTTCATTCTATTATCACATATGGTGTTGCCTTTTGGGGAAATGTGACTAATAGTAAAAATGTTTTTATAGTACAAAAAAGAATCGTAAGAAACATTATGAATGTGAATCCTAAAATATCTTGTCGGGGATATTGCCTAAGTATATTGCCCTTTTATTCACATTATATATTTGGGGGTACACAGTAGCGTAGTTGGTTGAGGGGCTGTGCTACAAGCTGGAAGGTCGCAGGTTCAAGTCCCGATAAGGTCATTGGATTTTTTTCAATTGACCTAATCCTTCCAGCCACACTATGGCCCTGGGGTCGACTCGGCCCTTAACAGAAATGAGTACCAGGAATTAATTAGATAATTTTCGTGGGGAGTAAAGCGCGGCTGGTGCATATGGCTGACAACCTTACCGCCATCTTTGAGCCGATTGTCTAAATAATGTTGGACCCTCAGTGTCTCACAACCCTATGGGCCTTCAAGGCCTGGTACAGGAATAGCTTTACTTTTACTTTATGTTTTCTTTTTTGTTATTGGTAGTATTTTTTTTAATTGCTAGTGGGGTGGAACTAAGTCCCTTGTACAGTGGCCACTTCTGGCCTATTGTACCAGCCCCAGATGATAGGTGAGGGTGATTGTGGAGCAGTTGGTGGAATGAAGATTGGCAGGGGAAACCTCAGTACTCGGAGAAAACCTGCCCCGGCACCACTTTGGCCACCATAAATCCCACTTGACCAGATCCAGGATCGAACCCGGGCCGCCACAGTGGGAAACCAGCAACTAACCGCTTGAGCTATGGTGCGGCCGTTATTGGTAGTAAAAAATATACACCAATTTGTAATTAATAATGAAATACATACTATAAATACACGACAAAGTACTAATTTACACATACCATTGGTAAATTTGACCAAATGCAAAAAGAGTGCCTATTATAGGGGTATATAAATTTTTAATTATTTACTGTGTGACATAAGGGAACTGTTATATAATGTTAAAAAATTCAAATTAGTTGCTAAAAACTTTTTCTTAAAGGAATCCTTTTATTCAGTAAATGAATACCTTGAATGATCAGAATAATGATAGATCATACATAGTGTAATTGTTCTTTATATTACCTGTGTACAGTTGTGTTATTCCTTTATATACTATTTTTGTGTTAGTATATTTTAGTATTATTTATTNCAAAGGACCTTACTTAATAATGTTATATTTTAGCGTCCTGTTGCACTGATTTAAGTCCATGATTTATTTCAACCGTCTTCCAGTGCATACACTCATCTATCTCCTCCTCTCTCTCGCACTACATGTTTCGGCACAAAAGTGCCATCTTTAGGTGCTTATTCGATTTATTTATTATATTTATTATTTTAATATGAAGACGACAAGGCATGCAATGAACTAGTTTAGCGTAAATCGAATAAGCACCTGAAGATGGCACTTTTGTGCCGAAACATGTAGTGCGAGAGAGAGGAGGAGATAGATGAGTGTATGCACTGGAAGACGGTTGAAATAAATCATGGACTTAAATCAGTGCAACAGGACGCTAAAATATAACATTATTAAGTAAGGTCCTTTGTGGATTATTGATAATGGGAAGAATTCTCTGATTGGAGTAAAATACCACCAAATTCTTTCAGTATCAAGAATATAAACTAATACTAACTCAGGCTAAAGTAAATTAACATAGAAAATAATATGTATCTAATCCTGATTTTCAAGAAAGATTTCATAGCATAGAAAACATCAGAGTCTACATCTGTCTTGTGTGCTTGAATGTGATAGTTTTGTGTTCATATTTCCCTGAAGTATGTTCTCGGCAGTTGCTAGAAGAACCGGCAAAAATTATGAAAATTTAAAACCGCTTACTACAAGCAAATAGCTGTTTTGCAGTAACCAAGTCTACCATTGGGAAATTATTTCAGAATTATGTCCTGACTCATCAGCATATTATGGAAATCGTTCTGCTTGCTACATGATGCTGCATCAGTATAAAGATGCTCTGGAGGATGCCAGAAAAGCAATAGCTCTTGATAACAACTATGTAAAAGTATGTATATTTTATTGTTTGTTTCAGTCTTATATATTTATGTACATTGCCAGTGTTTCATTTTTTCAAATTCCATCCTGCATGTTCATGGTATAAATATTTTAAGGATTACTTTTCTAACTATTTGTATAACAGGATACAGATTATAATTGTGTGTGTGTGTGATGAATGACTATGGATCTTCAGTAATTAAGAACCATCCACATGACACTTAATGTTTCTAAAACAAAAGTTATCTTCTACAGAAAAAGCACTGTGCTGACTTTCAACTTTGTAGTTTATAACTTATGCATTTTGCATGGTGATTGTATGACCCTCGTGTTTTTCTTGACTTCAAAACCCACATGCTGCAGTCCAGTTAAAAGTAAAAAAAAAAAAATAAATAAGTAAAATCCATTAAAATTTTCTAATNCTGTCTTCACTAATGTAGATGTGGTGTGTTTATTCCCATATTTATATGCCCTGGTTGTGAAGAGTGGGGAGAGTTGGGGGAGAGTATAGTGTTATGTTGTTATTAACGTTATGTTATGTTGGCTTGCTTTATACTCACACCTCCCACCTCTCCCCCCTCTTCACAACCAGGGCATATAAATATGGAAGTACACACACCACATCTACACTAGTGAAGACAACACCACACACTGGTAGGGGGTACAACACACAAGCAAGGGGCATGTGAGTATAAAGCAAACCAACATAACACTATACTCTCCCCCACCTCTCCCCACTCTTCACAACCAGGGCATATAAATACGGAAGTACACACACCACATCTACACTAGTGAAGACAACACCATACACTGGTAGGGGGTACAGCACACAAGCAAGGGGCATGTGAGTATAAAGCAAACCAACATAACATTAATAACAACATAACACTATACTCTCCCCCACCTCTCCCCACTCTTCACAACCAGGGCATATAAATATGGGAATAAACACACCACATCTACATTAGTGAAGACAGTACCACATGCTGCTAGAGGGAACAACACACAAGTAAGGGGCATGCGAGTATAAAGCAAACCAAGATAACATAACATTAATAACAACAATCAGAAAACAATATTAACGCATGGCATTCTGTAGCTTACAGATTGCAGACGTAGCAAACAACAGGCTAACGAATATAAAAACAAGCCGCTGAAGTAAAACATCTGCAATAAATCACATAGCTCTAGACAAGTGGACGATGCCCCTAATGAGGTGGAATAGGATTTTACAACAGTAATGGGAAAAATTTTAATAGAAAATTTTAATGGAATTTACTTAATTATATTTTATTTTTAACTGGACTCCAGTGCACATCAGAGCAGTGTAGCAGTTTCAATACAATGAGACATCTGAAGCTGACCATCTGTTGTTGAAACATGTTGTGTTAAATGTTAAATGGTGAAATTGGAAGAATAAAAAAAAAAGGAACAATTGTTGCATTAGTGACAGACTGTGATATACATAGACCTTAATTGACATACATTGTTATTTTGATGCGTGAATTATAATGAATGTGTATTATGGTTTATTGCCTGCTCTTCACCTTTATAAGCTGTCAGTATCAGAATTCAGTGAGAAACAGTAGAGACTAGTACTTCAATACTTCATTTTCATATGATAACTGCCCGCTGTTTGCTGCACCTTAGTGGGGAATGAAATCTGTAGTTTTTTAACATTAACATAACTCCTTTAATATTAAATACCATATTTTTTTGTACTCAGTGTTGTTATGAAGTTATGCTTGTCTTTCAAATACTGTGCGGTAAGATATCTTGCGTACTCATGCTGCATGTATATGTTTTCCTTTTGTACTATCTGTTTGTTTGATTGTGCTGACTTTGTAATTGGTTCCTGTAATTGCTGAGTTAGCATGTGAAAATAAGGAACTGGATTACTTCTACTGTTGCTGATACTACTACTGCTGCTGCCACTTTTTTTTTTTTTTGTATTATTCAGTTCACCCTTGTAGAGTGGAATTGTTTTGTTTGTCCCTTTGTTCAATAATGTATCCCCATTTGAAGTCATCTCACATACAATTCACTGTGAGGTCAGTGAGTGCTGAGTCTCTCCGTCCAAATACCCCCAAGACATTAGTGGTAATGTACAGAAGATAGAGTGAAATTGTAATATACTGTTATACCTACTCTGGTCTGTTCACTTGTGTTGTTTTCAGAAGTTTTATGTGTAAAGCATGACAAATCTTATATAAGTTTTGTGGTTGGTATGTAGGATTAAGGTTGGGACTCAAAGAATATACATTGCAGTGATGGCCATAGTAGTGCTGCAGGTATGATGAAAGTGTGTACAGTAAAGACTCCTAGAAATGTCTTACTTAACATACATCAGTGAAGCCTCATTACTTGTGAGATGTAATACATACTGTACCTTTATATGAATGAATGAATGAATGAATGTATGAGGGGTAGGCTTTCTCGGCCCTTGCACTGCGACCTTAGGTCTGTTGTGCTTCCCCTTTTTTAATTATTCCCTCAGCAACCCCATGCTTCGGATGAAGCATAGGATTTTGGATGTGGGAGCATCAAAATAGTCACTTGGTTCCGTAAAGTACTGACCCAAGTGACATAATCTTAAATAAGCTAAAGCCACACATTCACACAGGATGTGTGTGGCTGTTTCATTTTCTATCTGACACCTCTCACAAGTGGGATTATCACTTAGTCCCAGTTTGAACAGGTGTCCTTTGAGGTGACAGTGTCCTGTAAGTAGTCCTACCACCCTACCTTTATATAGTCTTGTACCAGTAAATAAATAAGTTTGAATATCAGAGTTTAAGCTGATACTCTTGAGTTTTTCTACACAGAGATTTGACTGTTTTTGCTAATTATACAGAAGTCATTAGCATATGTTTAACTTCATATATTTGTTTCAGGGGTACATCCGAATTGCAAAATGTAGTTTGGCTTTGGGTGATTTGTCAGCAGCAGATAATGCAGTTTCCATTGTAAGAGGACTTAGTCCTAACAACTCAGCTATTCTACCAGAGGTTCAGAAACTCGAGGTTGTTAGGAGGTTTGATGAGGAAGGGAACAAAGCATACCAAAAGCAAGACTACAGAAAGGTGAAATTCATTGTTGTATGAAGAAATTTATAGTAGAAAGTCATCCATACCAATTGTTGTCATATCTAGATGCATTTAAAAAAAGTCGTAAGAACCATGTCTTTATTTTTTTCTGCGTAAGGGAGCAAACACTGCCTGGTGAACCTACACTAAGTTTGCCAAGCTCTTTTGTCTTTGGTTTAGTTAGGACAATTCTGAGGGCCATGAAACACGTGCCTGTATTTTCTGAGTACTTGGAGAGATTATAATAAAACTTAATATGCAGCAGTTATTTCACATACAAGTTTCTGTCACTTAATTCGTTTTAAGTGCTGCTGTACTTAAATTCCTAATTGAACCTATATATATATATATATATATATATACACACAGTAGAACTTGGTTATAACGTCATCAAATGGACCTAAAAATAGTGTCGTTATAAACGAATGTCGTTGTAACCGAAATGGGCACTTTCACAGTAGCCTTATGTTAGTCACGTAAAAATCTACCAAAAACCGAGTTAAAATGTTGCATTTTTTAGTGAAATACGTAGTTAAGTACAGACTAACGTAACATTAACGTGGAATTGCCCAAATGTGTAATATCAAAGACATATTACAGCGCTTTTCACTGACAATACACACAATATTTCACGAATCACTTTAACTTTCTCTTCAATGCTTAAAACTTTCCTTTTCATTGCCATGTTTTCGCTACTGCACTTCTCTGGGTTTAGGCAGGAACACTATAGGGTAAGTAGACAATGTGAGGTCCTGTTAGACGAGATTCTAGGAAAGGAATGCAGTTAACAACCTGCCGCGTCCTCTTGCACTATTCACGCAGTCCCACCCCACACCCTTGTTTTCGCATAAAACCCACGCTCCTCTTGCAGCCCGCGGTCGTATTCTTCCAGGACAGTCACGTCAGCAAGTAGAGAAAGTGAGGGTGGGCAGACACATCGAAGTTTCCCACGATATCAGAGAAATTCAGGAATGAAAATGACGTTACATACGAGGTTGATGCATTTGTGCATGTCGTACTAAGCAAGGTATAAAAACAGTTGCTTTATGAGGAATTAGTTCGTACCATTGAATATTTGACGCAATAGACAAGGTGTCACAGAAACCGATGTTGCTATAACCAAGTTTTACTGTATATATATAGTGGTATGTCTGCTGAAAGCCAGAATTGTGAAGCCAGCAGAGACTGCCATTGTTGGGGAATGGCTCTGCAAATGTGCCCATTGCACATGCAAAAATAGAATGCCTGTTGGAAGAAGTGTTCTCTGAGTGGTCCATTCTGAGGCTGTATATGATGAGGACTAGCTGCCACTGCAGAAGAGTCCTGAGATGGCAGTTAGAAGGGTAGGATGTTGGTGTGAGATCTCCCCAGCCTGGGAGTCAGGAGTCGAGAGAGGGTCTGCAGGCAGTCAGTCAGTTGAGAGTTGCAGTAGCTGAGGTTGGGGATGGTTCGGGAACCCTGATGGAGCAGCCTCTCTGCCAATGGAAGCCGTTACCAAACAGGGCAATGAAGACCGTGACCGAGAACACTGGTCTGTGAGTTATAGTAAATTGTAAAGTGTAGTCATGAGTTTGTTAAAGTGTCCAGTAAATCTGATTACCAATCTAAACCCCAGCTGTCGCCACTCCATCACATCACAATATCATTAGAGTATTTTGACAGATTTTGATATATGTGAGTGTTACCATGTATGTGGTAATGTGCGCGGATGAGCTTCAGGGCCTAGTGTTTATCAGTTTTTATGTTTATGGTTTTTTGTGGGTTAGTCTTAAGTTTTTATTGAGACATTTTTTATTTTTTGTTAAGTTTCATTCTGTTTAATTAATGCGGTAGACTGCTTTATATAGGGGTTTGATTGGACTTATACTATTTCAGTTCCTTGAAAGTATTTTATGAAACTACATATTGTCACTTATTAGAAGAGGTTTGCATGACTTATGAAATGGGTTTTGGATTTGATGATTGAATTTATTTTATCTTTATTTTATCTTTATACAACTTGTTACAACATTTCACAATCACTATCTTCAATTGGACGCTCAAGACTTCTAACCACACTACACTAATCCACTACTCCAACTGAACTGTCAGTTATTTTTGGCTTCTCGTTATATAGCCTCGGGTTATAGCACGCAGAAAACATCCATTGCCTAGCAGCGGATGTCCTCTATTGTTGCGTATTCATTGCTGCAGTATGTGTTTACTGAGTCATTGCCTAGCAGTGAGTCTATGTGTCACAATATAAAGAACTTATGATGTATGAATATTACCTTATGTAAGTTTCATTTACTTGTTAAGACTTTGCACCCAGCTGTGATGCATCTACCAACAGGTTTTCTTCACCAGAAAACCAAAAGGAACACTACTATTGGTGCAAAATATAAAAATCTGTATCTGTAGTATATATATTGTAATAATGACATGAATTTAGTACTGAAACACTGAGAACATTGTATTACTGGCAATATTAACATTACTTCGTAATTAGATATTTTGTTCTATTTCTGATTATGAACTTACTGCTCATTTTTCTTCTGTTTGTATTGCCTCCATTTTGTATAGATCAGTAATGAAATGTTATAATTCTTTGTTCCCTACAGTCCTTTTGATTTCTTGCACTCCTTCCTTTCTGCTTGATGCCTTCCAGTATCTTTGGCTGAACCATATTGTTCTGGGTCTTCACATACATTTCACTCCTCAAAATTTTAATTTTAATGCCTGTTTTGGTATCCTGTTTCTCTTTTGTTAACACACAGTACACTTTTTACTGTACCACTCTTTGGTACTGAAATTTATGTCTACAGGTTGTATTTTGCATGGATCGGATCCTTGAGCAGGTTCCATGTACCAGATTCAAACTGAAGAAGGCTGAATGCTTGGCATTACTTGGACGGTATCAGGAAGCACAAGAAATTGCAAAGTAAGCATCTAATTTTGTGTTAAATTTAGAATCAGGGTATTATCCTTTCGAACCATTAGTTAAATATTGTGTTACTGACATGAAAAGTGCTGTAGAATTTATTGTAAGTTGTTGCCAGTATCTGAATCTGAGGAAATACAAGCATGTTCTGACATAAATGTAGTATAGTTTAGTTGTTTATTATCCATGTGATTTCATTTCATTTTATTCACCTTCCATAAATCCTGTCAAGAGTACATTCTCATGCAGATGTGGAGATTGTCCTAGTTACAGTCACAACTAAGAATTACAGTTGTCATCCAATAGCATACACATTTGTAATACAATACTGATAAATGTATACAATATAATAAAATAAGTTAATTTTAGTAGTAAGAGCAGTGACAGACCTTATACAATTTGTACAGTGTTATACAAGTCTACTGATTAAAAATTCATTAATTAAAAATGTCATAAATGAGTTTTGTATAACATACATTAATAGTGTAATAAATTGAAATAAAGAGTAGTATATAGTGATATAAAGATTGTGTATATCTAAAATAAGTAACTAAAAACTAGAACACAGACTGACCATCTTGTCTTCTTTTAATTGTAAAGCAAGACAGCTACTCACATCTTAAAAAGATTTATAACAGAAATATTCCTGTAATGAAGAAAAAGAATGTAAATGTAAAACTTGTTTTAATTGTATCTCAAAACTCTTAGTGTCACTCAATATATCCTTAATATTGTGTGACATGTTGACATGTGACATGTTGTGGTAGATTATTATAGACCTTTGTTCCTAAACAATAAACTCCCTTTTGATATTTACTCAAATTTACAAGAGGTTGATGGAGATTATTTTGCTGTCTGGTATTTATTCTATGAATCTCTGAATTTACTATGAATTTGTTTCTGTTTTTTATCACAGAGAGCAACCCATAAAACTCCAAATTCGACAACAGAACCTCATGATTAACACAATCGAAGGCCTTTTCGACGTCACAAAAATGCCTCCTATTAAGTTTTTGCTGTTTAAGGTCTTATAGATTTTATTCACTAACTTGTATATAGCCTTATTTTTTGAAGATTTTGTTCTAAAGCCAAATTGTTCTTCCACTAAAATGTTATTGTTATTTAAGTGCTCAATCAATTGAATGCTCATAGCTTTTTCTAATACCTTAGAGAACTAAGTTAAAAGTGATATAGGCCTATAATTGGAAATATTTGATTTATCGCATTTTTTTAAACAGCAGTCTTATTTCTGAATATTTTAAATGATCTGGGAAAATTCTTTGTGATAATGAATTGTTGATTTTGTGAGTCAAAGGTGAGCTAATGAAAAAAGAACTCATTCTTAATACTTTAGTGGATATTTCATTGGATCCATAAGAGTTTTTTGCTTTGAGAGATTTAATTATATTTTCAACTTCCTTAGTTGATAAAGATTTAAGTTTAATATGTGGAAAAGGATTTATAAAAGTTTTCAATAAATACTGAATGGGAGTAGTGTCTGGAAGATAACTAATATTTGTATTATTTTGTTAATTTTTTGCNCTAATGAAAAAAGAACTCATTCTTAATACTTTAGTGGATATTTCATTGGATCCATAAGAGTTTTTTGCTTTGAGAGATTTAATTATATTTTCAACTTCCTTAGTTGATAAAGATTTAAGTTTAATATGTGGAAAAGGATTTATAAAAGTTTTCAATAAATACTGAATGGGAGTAGTGTCTGGAAGATAACTAATATTTGTATTATTTTGTTAATTTTTTGCATTTTTATTTTCAGCTACAGATAAAAAGTAATTGTTAAAGGTTTCTGCAATTACTTACTTTTCTCTGATCCATTTTTCATCCACCTTTAATGTGCATATTTTTTCATTATTTGGCCCCATATTAGTTTATAATTTTACTATATCCCATATGTAAGATTTGAGGCTTTCATGGCGGTGACTATGAAGAAAGCAGTGTTTTGGGATTTGGCACCGTGTATATGTGGTGTTAACCGACGTTTCGGAGGAACGTATCAATACGATACGATACGAGGTGATATGTTCCTCCGAAACGTCGGTTAACACCACATATACACGGTGCCAAATCCCAAAAGTATGCTTTCTTTATATCCCATCTGGTTTTATTTTTATTTTTGGAATTTTTTAATCATATTTTAGTTTTTAGCTTCCTTAATGACCTTAGATAAAATTTTACAGTATTTTTTATAGTATCTTAATTCTGAATTTTTACTGTTTCTACATGCCATATAGAGTACTATTTCACATTTACAGGACATTATTCCTATTGTAATCCAATCACTCATTTTATTTGAAATTTTGATTTTTTTTTTTTTTTTTTTTGGAAAACTGGAATAGTAAATTTTCAAGTAAGTGTCTAAAAAGGAGTTAAACATTATATTAACATCACACTAGAAAATGTTGAGTCCAATGTTTCATAACTTAGTTTAATTAAAAAGTCATTTATTGTGTGTTTGTTTATTTTCCTTATTATTTTAAATTGTTTAGCATGTGTTCTCATGTTTATCGTTTTAAATGTTATGGATTGCACATCATTATCAGACAATCCATTTATTATAGGCGTTACAGAATAATTTTCCCTTCTAGTAATATCGATGAAAATATTATCAGTGGCTGTAGCAGAATTTCCTTGAACTCTGGTGGGAAAATTTGCTGTATTTATTAAATTATAAGTACTCAGTAAGGTACCTAACTTGTTTTTCTTTTCACTATCAAGAAGGTAATTTATATTAATATCCCCACAAATAATATATTCTTGTGTTGAGGTATATAGATTTCTAAGTATTGCATCTAGTTTTATTACGAATGTATCAACGTTTCCAGTCGGAGCTCTATATATTGTAATTATAGAGAGTCTGTTGGAGCTCAGGTTTAACTTAACAGCACATACCTCAAAATCTTTTTCTTTACAATATTTTTTTAGGTCTGTATTTACAAATTTCAAGCTTGTGCGTAGATAAATGTATACTCCTCCTTTTTCATACAAGGTTCTACAATAGTTTGCTCCTAGTTTATAAGAATCTATGTTTAACTGTTCTAATTCCAAGAAATTCATGTGATGTTCTGTAAAACATAATATGTGGGGGATGCTGGGTGTAGATGACTTAATAACTCATTTGCTTTCCCCCTTGAACCTCTTATGTTCTGATGGAAAATATTAAAGAATTTGATATCATTTTCTTTTGGTTACTCCGTTTAAGGAAATATTACTTTTCGGAGCACCTTTATTTACCACAAAAAATCCCGATTTTTCATACCTGATAGTTTTTTGAGTTTATTTGATTTGCGTATTGACCCATTTTTTTGTTCTCTAGTTGTTTTTATGGAGTCCTTCATAGCTGGACACTTGTTAGCTTGTAGATTTGCATTATAATTTTCAGATTCCTTCCAGAGCAAGTAAATTGCAGTCAAATTTTGTTAGATTGAGAAATTGTCACGCAGGTTGCTGCTATATGTTTAAGTATTTCTTCTTTTCTTCTCCTGTTCAGATGCATATCTTGTCTTGTAAAGAAGTGTCTGTTTAAGTCACAGTTCATTACACTAACATGTTCATAACATTTCATGAAAATGCTAATTAGGTGTTATCTTTATTTACTTTGTATGTAAACTGTATAGCCAATGAGGACTCGTCTGTTGCACATGTTACGTATCAACTTACATATAATTTTGCATATTCTTAAAGTGAAACAGATGTTTTACCTTCTGAATTTTAAAGGAATATTCCCTTCAGGTTATCAGAATTTCATCACTGTGGCATACTCTTGGCAAGTAAAAGCCTTTTTCATTCATGTTTTATGTGTAGATTTTGAGGAGTTATTCATGTGTAATTTCAAGGTCATGCTTATGAATATGTCAGTAACTTATATTGCCATTATACGAGGGTTGGAACTTTAATAGTGGAAACACTGCTGTAGAGATGCCATGCAACGGAACCAAATAATGTCCCTTGTACCACACGTTAGTTACATACCTATCTTACCTCAGCAAATTGACTCTCCCTTCCCACATCATGCGCATGCACAGTGACAAGAAGAACAGAGCCTTGTGTTAGCTGGCGGTCTAATGTAGTGTTGTCACGAAGTTTTCGAAACAGGAACAACGGAGTTGGATAAAGATTGAATGTGTCAGAGGCCGTACAGCGTGACAGTGTCATCAAAGTCTTCAAGAGGCTTGTGGGGAATCTGCATTGCCTTACAGAACAGTGGCAAGGGGGGTAAAAGCCTTCATCGAGGGACGCAAAAATGTGGCAGACATGCGTCGGCCAGGTCATCCTAGTGTCAGTGAGGAAGAAGTGTATGCTCTTTCTGCGTTACTGGAGAGTGACGATTCATGAGTTGGCCCGAGAGATAGGATTAGTGCATATGATTGTGCTTCACTTTCTGAATGAATGCCTGGGCATGAGAAAAATTGCATCACGATGGGTTCTGCATGATTTGACGGAAATGCAGAAATGGCTATGATATGACGCTGCTCGTAATCACTCGGAGCGCTATGAGTGCGAAGGAGAGGCTTTCTTACGCCGTATCATTACGCTGGATGAGACATGGGCCAAATTGTACAAGCCACAAATGAAACACCAGTCGAACGAATGGCATTATTATGGGTCACCACAAAAATCAAAAGTTTGTCAGAACCCCAACAATGTGAAAGTTATGGTGATTCTCATGTATGACTGTGATGGTGTTATCCTAACGCATACCATTCCCTGACAGCAGACCATCAGTGCGCAGTATTACTGTTCATTTTTGGAACACAACCTGTGACCAGCTTTGAGAAAGAAATGGCAACAGTTTCTGCAGAACCCACCCATCATTTTGCAGGACACTGCTCGGCCGCATGCGGCGCAAGCTGTGGCTGATTTGTTCGATCAGTGGGGCTGGGAGGTGCTGTACCATCCACCATACTCCCCAGACTTAAGTGCTTGTGACTTTGACTTGATTCCTAAGATGAAGGAACCACTTCGTAGCATTCGCTTCAGAATTGTTCCAGAGATTCTTCAGGCAGTAGACCACTCCATTCGAACTATCAACACAACAGGTGCTGCTAAAGGTATCCTACGAATTCCACATCGCTGGCAACGGGTTGTACACAATGCTGGTGACTACATTGAAGGACAGTAAAACTTCGAAACATGCATCTATTTTGTATCAGTTGTAAATAAATAGTTTCCACTATTAAAGTTCAAACCCTCGTACTTGGCAGAATTTTTTAAAGGCAAATAGCTTGGCTGATAAATATTTCAGACAGAGTTTGTAGATCTCATTGGAATAAATACTGAATGGAATATACATTTGTTCAAAATGATTTCTTGTTTATTGAATTTTAAGAATTAGGGTGTTCATACAGCTCTACTAAGCAATGTAGTCTTACTTTGTTTTGTTTTACTTATTGCAGTGACATTCTTCATGTTGACAAACAGAATGCGGATGCAGTTTATGTGCGGGGAATGTGCTTATATTACCAGGACAATGTGGAGCAAGCCTTCTGCCACTTCCAACATGTTTTACGACTTGCACCAGACCATCAAAAGGCAGTGGACATCTACAAAGTATGTTTCAGTATTTCAGTGCATGCATAATGCTGTTGTTTATTATAAAATGTTATGTGAAGGGAGAGACATTAAAAATGTAGTTAATCAGGTATTGTATTGTTTAATGTACTGTTAATTTTGCTCTTACTCTAGTTCTGCAACCAGTGACAAGAAGTAAAGGTGACAGTGGTTGATTCTTTATACCAGTGTTGTGTTGGACATTGTCCATTGTCTGAGGCACATTTGATGCATACACAACATTTTGGGAGGTTTCTATACTCATGTTTTCAGCTTGTTGCTTATATTTCTCTCCATGGTTTGCATAAAATGAACTTACATAGAGCTGGCTGTGTCTGTCCATTTTTTCAACTAGAGAACCTCTGGATAGACTGATGAAATTTGGTAAGAATATATACCATAAGAGGCTTCCAAGAGATGCATACTTTATTTCCTACCATCTGTAATACCAGAATGACAGATGCACAGACTTGTTATGTGGGGGTGACACTAGCACCGCTTAATTTAAGGCCATGAAGTTAGGTATGGTGACCTCTTTTAAAAATATGTAACCGATTGATATCTTTTTGTGTAAAATGTAAGAGAGTAAGATGGTGACTGCATTAATCGGTATTTAGCTTTCATTTTGATAATAATTAATGAACCATTGGAGTTGGTCATGTGAAATTTGGTATAAACGTAGATGGTAGACGTGCTTACAAATTCCATATTAAATATTACTTCAGTTTCTTCATTGATAGTATCACAGTATGTCTAATATGGTGATACTATCTTCTGTCATTGTTTCTGTTATATTTTCTACTGGTATACCTGTTCAGAAGTCTTATGTGAGTAATTTTGTGTAATACAAACAGCTTTGATGGAAATTATTATTAAATGGAAGTCAGAAGCAGAAGATTATTCTTATTGTCTGTTAGTATGGTATGTCATGGCTTGCTGTAATATGTCTTTGATATTGTTCTGCTATAGAAGGCTAACACTTACCGTAGTGACTGGGTTTGTTGCTTTAGCTCACTATCCTGGGGGCAGTATTTTAAATACATTCACCTGGAAAGCTCATTTTCATTCAGAAGACATAGCAAAGGGATATAGAAAGGAAAAATGTATACCTTATATATCTATAAACATTTTTCTCTAAGCCAAACTGCTACACAGTTCTTGAACACACCATAGAATGGCAGAAGATGTAAAAGGAAAATAATGAATTTAAAAGTATTAATTAATGCGGTCTGTCTCCTGTAGTTGGCGATGAAGCTAAGCTAACCAGTTCTATTTATTTATTTACTTTTTTATCTATTTATTTGTAATTACATTTCATAGATCCAGTTTTATCCCAGTAGGGCTCCATATAAAATTTGTCACATACAAAGTCTTACACAAAAAATCACATGCAATAAATATAAATATACAACATTAAATATAACATAAAATTTAAGATATAACATATTAATATATATATATATAAGGTAATTAGAGCCTCATGCAAAAAGCACAAGTTGTCAGTCCAATTTTCACATTTAGAAAAACATACATGTTAACTCCATTCTCATCCTTAACTGACTAGAATTGTCAAGTGTTAAATTAATCAGTACAGCCACTATTAAATCCAACCAAAGGGAGTAACTTACAACATGTTTACTCATACTATTTATCCTCTATCTTTGTAACTCTTGTATGCTCTATAAATTCATCGATAGAGTAAAACGAATTTCTCAGCAGATATCTTAGTAAAGCCTTCCTAAATTGATTTTTGTCTCTTCTCAAAATTGTGATACTGTTAGGTAATACATTAAATAGCTTGATACCTGAGTAATATACACCTCTCTGATAAGCTGATAAACGAGAATCAGGTACATGAAGATGATCATTATTCCCAGAACCAATCATATATATATATAGAGTTATTTTTCAAAAACTTATCGTAGTCGTTCACGACATATGTCATAAGTGAAAACAGATATACACAGGGAATTGACAATATTTCAATCACAGTTGTATTATCTCCCTGCTTGCATTTATTAAGACAGGAAAGACTACAACCTTAACAGCTGTAAGTGATTTTTGAACTCTTATTGATCTGGAGTCAACAGAGCTTATCATGTACCCACTATCATGCTATGTGCACAGTCTTCACCTGTACTTTATATTACATAATGTAATAAATTTATGTCCTATATCTTTATGTAACACATCATAGTATTACAGATATTTTACTGGTGTTACCATATTGCAGCGAGCGAAGGCTTTGAAACAGAAAAAGGAAGAAGGGAATGAAGCCTTCAGAGTGGGCAGACTCAATGAGGCCTACAGCCTCTATACTGAAGCACTGAAGATAGATCCAAATAATAAATCGACAAATGCCAAATTATTCTTCAACAGGGCAACAGTTTGTTCAAAGGTAATATTTGAAGTACTGGAACTAATGATAAAAGTAGTATTTTATACTGAGTGTTGTAATATTTTGCTTCTTGTGTTTAGCTTGATCGCCTTAATGAGGCAGTGGCTGATTGCTCAGGTGCGCTGCAGTTGGATGAAACTTACCTGAAAGCATTGTTACGGAGAGCAAAATGTTACATGGATCTCGGAAATTTTGAGGAAGCTGTAAGAGATTATGAGAAAGCATCTACAATGGATAAAAATCGGGGTAATGTTTAGATTCTGACTGTATTGTTGTGAGCATTTGTGTTAAGTCTTATTATATTAATATTTATGTAGTTCTTTGAACTTATAATATATTTCATTTTTACAGAGACCAAAAGACTTCTGCAAGAGGCAAAGTTGGCTTTAAAAAAATCAAAACGCAAAGATTACTACAAGATTTTAGGAGTCGACAAGAATGCATCGACAGATGAAATCAAGAAAGCGTACAGAAAGAGGGCTCTTGTTCATCATCCTGGTTAGTTCTAACATATTCTGTATCATACACCACATTTTTATGTTTTATTTTGCTAGTAGCTGGAATTCTGTTATAATCAGTTTTACTTTTGATTTTACTTAATTGTCTGAAGTACTAGTTCACCATTGCTGTAAGAGCATTATAGTAACTGTGAACTTGAGAGCAAAAGCATGGGAGAAACAAATGTATCCTGTTCTAAATCCACCTGTCTCATGATGCAGCCATGAACTCTTCTGCAACACATGTTTAGCTACTTTAGAGGTAATTCATGAAGAAGATCAGAAAATGCTTGCTTCTTTTATTTCATTTAACCCTTCTGCGAATTTGGAAATATGTATGTATGGGAAGTGAAAATAAGGGCTTGCTGTTGGCAGTCAGGCATACAGTATAAAAGAATTGTTAACATTTTAATTTAAGGAGGCTTAGTGTTTGTGTATTTATATTGTATTTTAAATTTGTATTTGTATTTTATAAAATGTGAAGAGAACTCCTTTTATGCATAGCAGTGAGACAAACATCTAAGAGTGATATGTTCTGCAATATAATGCCAAGAGGAAGGCGCAGTCACATTTTTCTAGATCGGTCATTCTTGCCTAACACACGGATGTTTGTTTCATAGTGATCCAGCACATATGTGTACATACTGTGATGTACATATCACCATTTTCTGTATCTGGCGTAGTGCCCACATTATGATGAGGAACATCAAACATTTCTATGCTGTTATGGAAAAGAGTGTAAAAGGGGATTTAGATCACTGTACATCAGTTTTCAGGCGGAGAAGAGACAGCTGTAGGCGTTACTGCAGTAACACAGTGAACCCCTGATTTAAGGGACCTGCATTGTACTTTTTTGTGTTCCTAGCAAAGCTCCATATGCCTAATTTATTATTTTCTCTGATTTAACAGTTCTGGATTTAAGGGCACACTCATATTTTACATAAGAACTTTGATTCCTGCACATGTTTCAGGTCTCATTTTAGTGTGGAGTGGAATTTTTTTGCATGTTCTAGCTTGCATGTAGCTACCCTTGCCTAGTTTTATTTTCAATCATTTGCGTTGCAGCATGCACAGGAATCTTACCAATCTGTGGTAGGCAGCGTGGCTGTCTCTGTCCGCTCTTTGTTCGTCCTCAGTGTCAGTTGGAAGTGGTTACTTTTTGTATTGTGTTTGAGTGTCACAGTTTTTTTGGAAGTAATTCTGAAGTGATGAATGGCCATGGCATCAAAAAGAAACAAGTTAACAATAAATGAGGACATCATAATTGTTCAGCAGGTGGAAAAGTATCAAACTGTTCTGTGAAATTATGTTATGAAGTATTTTATGCTACCTGTAATTGTTCATTAAAATAATTGTATGGAAATAATGCAATGAGGAAACCAGCATGGAGCAGGTAGCAAGCAGGCATTATCCCAGAAGATGAACTCCATATAACCACCACTGTGAGAACATAAATCCTGCAATTCAGATCTGTATTATCAAACTTGAGATAGAGATTTTTCTCCCAGGCTTGCTGGTCTGGGAAAAATAATGTGGCAGGTTAAATCATCCATGCATGCATATTTCTGACAGTCAAGACAATTTAAATTTAAGAAGGAATTTTGTACACCAGAATTATTTTATTTTGAATGTACAGACCAAAGTTTTGTGTAACCAGTGAGGTTACTTTAAACCAGAGAACTGTGTATTGCTGTATTGAATCACTTGCAGAGGTCATTGAAAATAATGAGAGTTGAGACTTCAGTTAGCTGTTCAAGGGACAGAAGGATTAAGTGTTTTGGCTTCCCATTCCTGAGATGAGGAGACTGAAATATCTCTGTGCCTGTGAAAGTTTCTCCAGCATGCTCGTTTTCCTCAGCCATAATGGCAGATATGTTCGAATGATAAAAGTCTTGTAGCCTGATGAGCCGTTAAGTCTCTTGAACATTGATGCAACAGTTAGCTACTAAAAGCAGTAGCATCAAGCTTATAGGACAAATAAAAGTTAATGTTTTTGCTTACATTGTTTCACCTTTAATTTTACATTGTCATGAACTGTGTATCATTGTAAGAGAGAAAATTCTATTACTGTATTGCATAATCTTTAGTGTCTGAAGTGCTCCAATCGGTCCAGTGATGAGTATGGTTGTCGTGGCCAAAGTACCCCGATTTGTGCTGTTGGACATTTAAATCCTGCTAGTGGAAGCGCACGCACATGCTGCTAGTAGAAGTGTTTGCACAATCCTAAATATTTAATTTTAAATGTAGTAAAATTCAATATGCATACATTTTCTTGTTGTCTACTCGACGTATATATCGGCTTCAACCCCCGCTTCATATTACTGAATCTCGCCTTTGTGCACTACTCTTTGAAGCACCCGAGAAAGTACAGTCCCATGTCACAAGTCTTGCATTTCAACTGCATTTCAGTTTTATCATCTTCCAAATAACGTTTCATTGCCATTGTAAAAAAAAAAAAAAAAAGAAACTACAGTATTCAAATTCACTGTGAACTCACAGAAAACTGAATGCACTCTGTATCTCAGCTGCAATACAAGTGTTTGGTTGCAACCATAGAAAGGGCAATGTTCTCTTGCAGCTGCAATGGCAGGGCTTGGCACTGAATTAGGGAACAATGAAAATTCTCTGTATAGCCTTTCTTGAAAAACCACGTTTTCACCTTTCTGTCCTTTAGTCAAAAGACTGGGATATTTGAAGAGTGTAACAAAGATGTGAAACTTGCCAGCAGAGAACGAAATGACTTTATTTGCTTCCAGTTGTTTTATGGCACCAGAGAATGCAAGAATATTTCAAGTGTAACAAGCAGGAGTGATTTTATAATGCAGAACTACTATGTGAAGAAGTGGGACACTAGTTTTTACAGTATGCTTCAAAATTACAAGAAAAAAATTAAAACTACTTTGTAACATTTTGTCTACATATTTTCAAATCTTACATTGACACTGTGTTCTTTGCTGATAAAAACAAAGTTAATTCCATTCATTTTTCATAAAAATTGTATTAGACACAGCATTTTCAAATACAGTGCAAGTGCCATAACAGGAACAGACATTTAAATGCAGAACGGCAATGGGCATTTAAACGTGCACCAGTAGCAGACATTTAAATAAACTCCGGCCAGCTCAAGCTACTACCATTTCAAAAGTCTGGCGTTTAAAGGTTAATATTTATATACTGTACAATTTCAGATCGTCATGCAAATGCGTCTGATGGGGAAAAAAGGGAACAGGAAAAGAAGTTTAAGGAAGTTGGAGAAGCATATGGAATACTGTCTGACCCTAAAAAGAGAGCACGTTATGACAATGGCCAAGATCTTGAGGATATGGAAGGCATGACCAGTAAGTAGTATTCAGTTACTTAGACATATTCAAGTAGAGTCATTTATATAAGAACTGGCATACGATGGCTTCATTGCAGATATTAAGTTTGTAATCTTCTCTGCAGGTAGTTTGTTACACAAATAAGTAGCAGTAGTCTGTAAAGTGTAACAGATTTTATAGGAGTAAGTCAGTCTTGACATCGCATGTTTCAGCCATTGTTGGCTATCATCAAAAGGCATAGCCAGTACTACAAAGGAACTACTTTGCACATGTTGAGTGCAGGTTGTTACTGTAGTATCATAAAGGAGTCTGAGTAGATAGTGCAGTTGAAATAAGTTGTGAATACCAAGAGCATCTGGTTTGAACCAATGGAGGAATGTGTTGGCAGCCTTTGTTTCTACTGTTGAGGGCTGTGTGTCTGTAGGATGATGAATTGTGCAATCCAGTGAAGTATGCTGAAGATACGAAATGTGATATTTTTAAGCCATGGTTTTTAAAGATATTCTGTTATTGATTCTGCCAGATATGGACTTTCTTACTGCTTTAGTGGACCATTTGGCAGACAGAACTGTCCTGCTAAATGTATTCTCAGATGGCTGAACGGGAATATGCTTGCCCATTACATGATGATGCTATTAAGAGTTATTTAAATTTTCAAGAATATAATTTTTATTGACCATGAGTATCAAAAATACTTCTTTAGGCCCCAGAGATTATAGCAATTATTTCTGTATTCAAGTCCACTTCTAAGGGAGTGTTTTGTTTAATTACCTCACCCCTGGGGCTTATAAAAGTCTTCATGTAGTTCTCTCCACACAGCCGTGCTTAGTTTATTATTTTGTAAAGTGTCAAACGGAGACACACACATCTGAAGATGCCTTGGCTTATATCATTCGTTTCATCAAACCAAAACTCTCTTAGGTTCTTATTTTATCGGTACTTCGTTGTCGCAAAAATATTATGAGACCACAATGGCATTAGTATTTTTACTTACGTTTGTGTGTTCGTCTTATTCTGATGTGATGTTGGACAGTCTTCAGAAATTCAACTTTGTATTTTAGACCCTGAAACAGGGGCTAGCACACAACCTGACATTGCAGCATGTAAATCTCAATCTTGTCCTTTCTTTATTTTTTATGAAACATGCATGACACAGAATTTGTCTTCATTCCAAGGACCAGTGTCTGTAGTGTCATGTCAAATGGTGTTATTTGGCTAGTGGAAGCTGTTTACCTTCCCCATGGGGTTTTTATGTGGTCAAGGCACTCTTCCCCCTTTTGTATTAGGTCCCTGACCAGCACAAGTTTGAAGTGTTAGTGTGATAATTTTGAATCAGAAAAGGTGAGAAGGATAAAATTATTCAGAATTGAAAGGCCCAAGAGCTGAGGAAAATAGCCTTTTCATCAATTTTCATATGGTGTAAGTGTTCTTGATGTAGTCAGACTTGTTCACATGATCCATGTGTCTGTTACACTATTGTACTGTGGCTGGTTTCAGATGGTTCCCATGCTATTTACAGAAATAACCTTCTGCTGTTTACAGTCTGTCATTCCATACTATTACTGACAAGTCTCCTGTAACCCAAGTCTTCATGTCACTCCATTTCACTTTCGGCTTCTTTCCAAAATCCGTATTCATTTTTGATTTGTCTGACAGTACCACAACGATTTATGGTCTTAGTAAATAAATCATCACTTAATTCAGGGGCTGATAAGAAATTGTCCCTGAGGAGCATATGCCCCACATTTTCAATCCTTGCAGTCACTTCTGCCATAATTGCATGTGTGACTTACTGCAGCAGGTGCACACTTCCTGTTTTTCCATAAGTGCAGTCATATATGCATATCCCCTAGACTTACATAGCTTGTAGCTTTTCATCCAGAACCATTTGTGTTTGTTTGGTATATATTGTCAGAAGATGAACACAATGATTTTATCAGCTGCTAAGTGTTCAGTTAGATTGCAAGCCTTGGCATATACATCACTGAGCTTGTCAAGTATAGATCGCACTTGCCATAATTGATCATAATTTTCATTAGTTTTCTGAGGTTTCTGCTGCTACTGAACTGTGGAAAGAATCTGTCTCCCATAATCACTTTTCCATAAAATAACTTTAAAAACTCTTCTAACATGGACCAGTAATCTTTCATTGTATCCATCTGACCATGCCTGATCTGCACAATAGTAGATTAAAAACAAGTATGTTTCCTGTATAGTCATGTAGTCAGAAGAGCATGCCTTTCATTCAACATCTCAAAATTTTGGTGTTATTGTCTGTTGGGCTCTTCCACCAGCTGGTGCATAATTTCTGGGGGAGGGGAAAAAAAGCATGAAAACTTTCAGTGGTGTACAGTCTTTCATAATGTTCGGTGCCTCATTTTGTCTCAACACACTGAGTGGCCCTGTAAAACTGCATTATAGGCAGAAGGTGAAGTTTGTGTACAGCCAGTCCTTTGTGTAGAGTCTTGTAGCTGACCACTGCCCTGTTCTTGAACCCACTGACTAAAAGTAGTTTCTATTGCGGCATGTGCTCTTCTTGTGTGGCAATTTGCTTATTTCAATTTTAGTCTAGGCCATTGCGTAGGAGGAGCTTAATGGATAGGGTTTACATGTTTGTTTGCTGGAGAATTGGTTCAGTAGAGCAGTGATTTTATCTCAAGGAATATTGAGTGTGGGCCTTAATATACACCAGTGTAGGTCTTAAATCAGTGGGACTTGGAATGGTGTAAACTAGATTAATCACCAGCTGTTCAGTGCTTACTTTACCCCTTCATTGTTTTACCTGTATAGGAATCATCATCACAGATTGTAGTTATGGTTTGGAGAGTTGTATTATATTCATATGTGTTTTCTTTTTCCAGGTGACGTTGACCCGAACAGTGTATTCCAAGCATTTTTTGCTGAACATTCAGGAGGTCAGTTCACCTTCACAAGTGACTCTTTTCCTGGTGGATTTACGTTCCAGTTTGGTTAAAACCCTCCACCTGCCATTCAGTGGGTGTTGTAACATTCCACTGGTTTTGAAGATCTGTTGCACCAATGTCGTATGGTGACACCGACTATTCCCCATGAATCCAGATCAGTCAGATAATGTTCAACTTTATGTATATGATAGGGCGCTTAGAAAAATGTGAATTTACATTATTTTATTAATTCATCTTCATTAAAATGTCCTATGGGAAAATTACAGTTGAAGTTGAAAGTTCTGTAGCAAAAATTGATCATCCCTTGTACATGCTCATGTTATAAATGTACCATCATTACTGATGATGATATCTGGGGAATTTTCTTTGTTTTCGTCAAGTATCAATAGGATAAACAAGTTTGTGATGTAGTATCACTTTTGAATACCATGTTTTCTGTACAGTTCTTCAGGGAACTGGTCCCCCCTAGATACATAATATATTCTTCTTGTAATTAGTATCAGAAGTGTAGTGAATGTGTTGATTGTATTATTGGAACAGCTGAAGTTCTGTGTTTTCAGTAGCTGTTTATTTTCAGAACTGTTGTGTTACTACTGTCTTTAATTCATGCACATTGCTTGCCACATTTTGCCCTCAGTTTTTTGATTGCAGGTTTGTGTGCTGACATTTGAATCTAACATAGAGGCTTGTTTCTTATGTGACAGTTCAGACAAAAAGGGGGAAGTATATATTTTGGATGGAAACGTTTTGGTAAATGGAATATGATTTTTTTCTTTACATAAATTATGGAATGTTTTAATAATAATGAGATTATGTACTTCCCTTTGAAAGGTTCTTGAGTGCATTCTGTATTTTCATGACATTGTGTTTTAATAGTTCTTTCCTGTAACATAGCTTCCTTGTATTCATTTTAGAGTTAATAAATCACATTTAGACAGTGGTTCTGTTTATCTTTTAAATATCTGAGATCAAAGAAGTGTATGATAATTAACAGAATTAACAAATGAGTGATATCACGTTCATCTGTGTATATTGCTGTGCACAAGTTGTGTAACTTGATTTATTGGCTCCTCTGTCATAATGAACTATATATTAAAATCAGCTTTTTGGTGTTGTAGTCTTTGTTGTATCAGACATAACCATATTAATCTTGTAATATTAAAAAAATCATAATCTGAAAGCTATGAACTGTGGTCAGTAAAGTGTGCAAGTGCTGATTTTCAGATTGGGGCCGATACAGTTGAATGCTGTGTGGCAGAACTGTATGGATATTCATGCTTGTGAACACCACATGATTCTTTGATGAACACTGAGCCAGAAATCTCCCTTGTTACAATTTTGATTGATGCATAATTGTCACAGAAAGTGCAGTCAAAGTTAAATGATGTAACTAAAAATTAATATTTGCATGTGTGGATTGAATGACGTGATTTTTTGATGAACATTGAGGTGAAAATGTCTCTTGATAAAATTCTGTATAGTGCATAATTTTCTCAGTAAATGCGATTGAAGTTGAATGTGATGTGGCAGCTTGGTATGGATATTAATGGCTCACTCATCACTTGATTTCTTGATGGATGTTGAGTTGAAAATGTTCGTTAGTTAAAACTCAAATCAGTGATTAATTTACAGAGAAGAACACAAAATTTAGCTTTGTGTGGCAACATGGTTTCAGAATTTGTATCTATGGACCCCATTACGTGATCCATTGATTAATACTAAGTTGAAAATGCCCTTTGGTAATATATTGACCAATGTATAAATTTAATGGAAAATGTGGTTGAAGTTCTCCATAATGTGTTGTCATAATGCATTTAACTTCACATTTTTCTTGAAAACATGTGTTAGTTGAAATGTCATCAAGGGCAAAAGTACAGTATTAATATGAAATTTCTTGTCTGAAATTAGAGACGTTAGTTAATTATACAAACATACCTGCAATGATGTACAGTAGACCCTTGTTTTATGCTGTGGTTAGGCTTATGGAGATGTCAGCGCATATCAAATTGGTGTAAATGAAAGACGAGTTATAATATATTTCAGTGGGATGCATTCCAGATATACAGAAATTGAGACTGTCTTTCATAAAATAATACAAAACATGTATATATTTTAAACAAATATTATATTGATGGATTTGTATTACATTCTGTAATATAATATAAATATATAGGCAAATAGCAGTTTGAGTGAATGAAATGTTTATTTCGTTTGACTTATCAACATTCTTCTTTCCAGTCGCAAGGACCATGTGAGTATCTAAGAGTTGTAGCAGTTTCCATTGTCTTTTTAATTATATCAAAATTGTTTATGATTGTTGTAACAGTGTAGAGGTTAATATTTAAATCACTACAAACAATAGGATGTGATTGTTCATCCTGAATTATTCTAATTTCCATATTTACTTTTAATATTACAAATTTGCATGGTCTTTTTGCCATATTTCCACTGGCAGTTTACGTCCACTCTTACAAATAGACATGGTTCCACTTTTTTTCTTATTTTAAGGCACAGAATTAATGTACACAATAAATTGCTGTAATGTAAAGTGTACTGTATAGAGAATGAGAGTGTACGTTGTGTACCCAAATGCGATGTTGCTATGCATATGAATGCCCAGTAGCATTGTGCAGGGACTTCTGTTGGTAGTGGAGCTTGGTATAGAATTTTTCAGAATTTGGGGGGGAAACAAAGGAAATTATTGGAAAATTTTCAAACTGGCAGATACCCAAATCATCATAAACTAAGGGCCTGCTGTACCTTGTTTATTAAAATCCAAGTCTTGAAAAGAAAAAATTATGAGAAGATACAGTATTTGTAATGTATGAATGTAGAACATAAATCAGATCTTTGAAACAGACATTTAAGACAATGAAGCAATCTAAATAAAATATGTAATTGACTTTTAGAAAATTTCTATGCCTACAAGTTTCAAGAGAGATTTAAGGGTATGATACGAAGTATTTATGTGAGAAATTATATTTTGATGGGTTACTTTAATGCTGGAAGTACAGTAATCTGTATGTTTGGCTCAAATACAAGTTTGTTTAGTTATGGGCTGCACAAGAGTTCTCAGAAACAACGTGCATGGTACATGAATTGTACTTGATTTGGCTTAAAGTTTCATTTAATGACCCTCACTCTGTGATCATTTTATATGGTCTGGACCGAATTTTTGTTTAAATTATTCAATTTTAAGATTTCCTTGAGTTCAGTCTCGTGCCCATTTTCTCCCAAGAAATATTTGATATATAGTGCATCTTATAACGTTGGAAATTCTCAGTGTTGCTTGCCATGAAATGCTTACCCAGTTCCTCCACAACAATTAAAAATTGCATTCTTAAACTCTCATTGCTGTGTAACATACTTGGTGTGTGAGACCATGTTCCCATCCCTTATGCTTACTGTATCAGTAATGGCACTAAATTGGGCATGCTACTTTTAAGATATTCCATAACTCTTTGGTATGTTCTGAAAGACAAAGTCTCAACTTTATGCTCTATATTTCATAATTATTACTTGTGACATTGCAAGGTGAATATCCTCTTGTTCTTTTGCTGACAATTTCTTCTTTCTCTGTTGAGTGGTATGTGATATGGCTGTTGCTTTATTCCATGCAGACTTTCACAGCAAAATGAAGCAAGATAATATTGTAATGTGTATAGCTAGGCAACAGCGCAATAAACACCTCGTTTAAGGTTATGCAGCAATAGGACAAATGTTTATAGCTCATTGCTAGGCAACAGTCAGACTGGTGACATAGTTATCACGTGATTTGTTTTCTGTGTGGTCTATGCTATGCAACAATAGAACTGTGTTTTCTGTGCGGTCCATGCTGAGAGGATATGAGAGAATACAGGAATGGGACTTGACTTCACTTGAGTTTGGAAGTTCCAAAGGAACAGCAGTGGGGCAAAGAAGAATTAGAAGACTTAGTGTGTGATGGATGTTACATGTGCTATAGTTACAGTAATTGTGAGAGTGTCAGAACTATTTGTAGTTACGACTACTGAAGATCCAATAAACCAGTTCACCAATCCTAACCCACATCTTAGTCACTGAGACACGTGACAGCTGGTGTTAGAAGTGGTATGGATTGGATTGGAGTTATCAAGTATTGGGACGAAGATCTATGTTACAGTGATGTCCAATAAAAATGGAAAACATGGAATTCCTGAAAGCCATGCTGTCCGAAATGAATTTCAGAATGGATGCCAGTACTGAAGCAATGCAAGAAAGGATGAACAAAATGAAAGAGGACATGAACACCAATAGAGAAGCTGACTGAGGAAATCTAAAGGAAATGATGAACGCCAACCAACCCAAAGTGAATGCAAATATAAAGGTGATGAGAGACGAGATCAAATCTGGACAAGCGGAAGTAAGATCCATAGTTCATGCCTGGACAGCGGACATGAAGAAAGATAAAAAAGAGACAATGCCCTGCCAAGTAATGATGGCGGCTTGTCTGGACAGTAAGACAGATCCAGAGGAAATGTAATCTGCTGCCTAGATGAGGTCGGGATAAAATGTTTCAGTGACCCCATGTTAAGTCACAGTGTGATGGAAGATTCTTTTATTCCTTCTTTTTCTTCACATGTGGACAGAAAGGGAGTAAAGTGATTCCTGGAGGAAGGTGGTTCAGTGGTTGTTAGGATGAGGGAGAAGAGGTGAAGCCAGGTTTTACTCAATCTGTACCCATCTTCACCATTAAATTTAATGTTAATGATAATATGTAATATGTGGGAACTGTGCTACCGTCAACACAACAAATATTTCAGTATTACAATTAGATCTTTATTTATCGCGACATTTTTCGGTCATACATGAGTACGTACAGGAGTACGTACAGTTATTGAAATGCCAATATGGATTCTTATTGGTGCAACACATCATATTGAATATTAACATAAAAACTTTGCCTCAGATTAGTGCATAGTTAAAATAGCAAATACATGATTAAGAATAAAAATAAAAGACAGAATAAAGGTGTACTATATATAAAATGTTGAAATATTATTAAAACATATAAAGGTATGTTAGAAGTATATAAAAGTATGAACACCTATATGTAGGGTTAGGGATCTGTATGACAACTAAAATTTTATTTTAAGGGGATATCCCGCTACAGTGTAGAATTGGATGTTTATGTTGCATGGGTCTTGTTGCAGAAATTCCACATAATAAGCGCAGTATATGAGGCCCAAAGACAAGTTTTCAATTATGTACAAGTTTGATGGTGTGTGGGTATTTGGTATGGTATTCCCATGCTATGTATCCTGTATATAAAACTTGCAATTTGGCATATACACGTTTGGTGTGTAAGGTGTGTTCTACACTGTGCAGTGGTTTGACATAGATTCAGATAAGGATCTGTATCGGTATTTCAATAACTATACATATTCCTGCCTGATGATGGTCATGTATGACCGAAACATGTCGCAGTAAATAAAGATCTAAGTGTAATACTGAAATATTTGTTGTGCTGACGGTAGCGTAGTTCCTACATATTATTTACTGTCTGAGACACACAACAGGATGCAACCAATGAACATAGTTCATGATAATGTTTTGTTATTTAGATGGCTTTCCTGATGATGTGGATATGGTAGGTCCAGATCTTGGTTGTGACCTTTGTTCTGTTGTGGTCAGTGCTTTTATCTCTATGGGGTGTCTAGCATGTTCCCAAGGCTTGGGGGACATGTGGTGGCCAGTTTGGCTGATGTACATACTATTTCAGCATGAGCGGGGCATTTTGTAAACTTTGCACTTTGAGTTGGTTGTCCTACCTTGGTGGAGGTGCAGTTTTGTAAAACGTTTTCTTTATTGTGTGAATGCATTTTTTTCTTCACTAGCCTGCAAATGCGATCATTGATGGCATGGTTGGGAGGTGGTGCTAACACAGTGTTCTGTAAGAATGTTTAGGTCCTGTGGATCATCAGATGACAGGAGACTTTCACAGATATTCACCATTCTTATAGAACATTTAGCACTACTCTTTTGTACACCAGGAAGGTCACTTTGTTGAGTGATTATAGATGGAGTTTTGATTGGTTATCAGATTTATTGCACACTTACAACTTGGAATTACGAGTAACTGTTGCGCTATCGCTACGAGTAATTCACACACACTGCAGTTTACTATAGTACTACAGTATTTCAGTCTGCTCTCCCCAAACACTCTGCAGAGACAAAACACAATATTGACTTTGACAGACTAGAGGTCATGGATAATGCCCAAACCTACTGTCCCCTCAGCATGATGGAAGCTGCCAAATTAACAAGATAAACATGAAAATGAATATGGACAGAGTAAAGCCTGTCTTCACACCTTTCCCCAAATTCACGGCTGAACGACCTTCATCCAGCAATGACTGCACTTCCTTCACGGACATACTGAGAGAAAAAGAGGGAAAGAAGAATGAAGGAAAATCTTCTAGACCACATGTCTGGGGATTGTTGAAAGTTTTCTCCCACCCCATCTTAGGACCGCCTTCCTCTCAAACATTGTTCATCACCTCCTTTCACAAATAATATCATTGTCCTGTAATGTTCAGCATCCCACCTTTTTGTTAATCATGGCTTCACTTCTGACAAACTGCCTCATGCCAGAGCTATATAAGAGCTG